CTCAAGACTACCACTACCAATTTTCCTTCTTAGACTAAGGATACATGTAGTAGAAAAKAAACAAAGTGAGATTCATCAGATTATTTAGATGATTAATTGTGAAATAATGAGGTATGTAGCTAAATAAAAAAATTTGCGACGAATTTTTTTAATTAGTTAAAAAGCTAATAACTTAAGTGATTGTAAAAACTCTCAGCTACCTACCCTGTTAAAGCATTTAAACAAAAGGACGCCATAAGAAGCTTTCCCTTTAACGTTGAAGCATTTAATTCCTGAAARATAGTTAACCATCAGACATCTTCGACGACAACAGACTAGTAATAATACAGAAATACAGCCTAAATGTGGCACAACGGCCASGACTCAATCATGACAATGTTTTCTCACCTTATAAGAGAAGAACTGGTCCAATGTCAGTATAGATCCTGACCAATGGTCTATAGTTAATACCCATATACCAAGAAACAAATAAAACGAAGCCTGTAAGGATATAATCTGAGATATTATAAGAACAGGATCCCACACATACGTTCTGAACGACGCCATTTTGATACWATCATTTCGAAACGGAAATGACGTAATTKAAGTACGTCTCGCGGGCTCAGCATGCAATTTTGTAATGTTTTTCTGCGCCCTGTTTATGACTCTGATGAGTTTATGTGAAAGCCCTTTTATGTTGAGGCCCTTCTGATCTGATTGTCATTTAAAAATGACAGAATCAGAAATCCCAAAGTGTCCTGTTTGTGGAAAAACAGTGCTTCCTTTGTCTACTCTCACTCGGCATGTTGAGGAATGTCTTCTCCGTTCGGAGACAAGAAGGGAAACTCGTGCAAAACCTTTCAACGAATGCAATGGAGATTCTCACAAGTCATTCTTCAGTTTAATGAAATCATCCTCCAAGGTGGCTTTTAATAGAACTCAAAACTCGCCTCAAAMTGATCAAAAGAGAGTCGCTTCTTCTTTGGCGGGAAAATCAGACAGCTCTCCCCCAGGCAAGAGACCAAAACTTGAAGATCCAAAAAARGGTGCCTCAGCTTTTTTCGAGCCCAGGAAAGACAATGTAAAACAAAYTGCACGGGTTTCACTAAAACCTGTACAAAATGTTTCAAAGGAATTAACTGGGAATCAAAACAAATCTACAGTCGATCCAGCTGTTAAACCGGTTTCTCTTGATTCCCCCAGCAATCAAATCAAATCTCAAAATCCTGTTATACCAGTATCTGTAGGTCACAATATCAACAATGAAAAAGCTTCCCACAAAAGGGAATTTGTTCCACTTGCTGAACGAATGCGACCATGTGGACTTCAAGACTATTTGGGGCAAACCAAGGTTGTGGGAAGTAATTGTCTATTACGGTCTCTGTTGGAAGCTAATGAAGTACCATCCATGATCCTCTGGGGACCTCCAGGATGTGGAAAGGTAACAGTGATGTATTCATTTCAAAAGTATTATTTAATCACACTCAGGGGGGGGGGGGGGGGGGGGGGGGGGGGGGGCTTCAGCTCATAAAAGGAAATCTCCATCCCAATTTTCTCTTTGATCAACCAAATCAGATTTTGGAAGGGCACTTTGATCAGCCATATTTTGAGATGAAACCAATAAATATGTCAGAATATGTTAGAAAATGCTTTTTGAAGTAGGTATGTTTCCTCAAGGGTTGTATTTGTTTCTGACAGGGATGTTCTTCTGGTATCTCTAAACCCTGACCCTATTYAAGACAGTAAAATCATGAAATTACATACTCTGTTCAAGACAAATTGGCAAAATGTGACATGTAACTGATGTAAACATATTGTCACTTCAGTTTGTATTTGTTTTTTCTGTAATGCTTTAATTATRGTGACACAGTGTGTTGTTTTGAAGAATAATTGACTTAAGTTGATTCTGCAGACTTCACTTGCACATGTCATTGCCACTGGTACAAAGAAAACAAGCAACACCAGATTTGTTACCCTGTCTGCAACCACAAGTGGTATAAATGATGTCAAAGAAGTTATAAAAGTGGCAAAAAATGAACAGCGGATGTTTAAACGTAAAACAATTCTGTTTATGGATGAAATACACAGGTTTAACAAGTCACAACAGGTAACCTACAGGTAGTTTAGTCTTATCAGGAGTTWAAAAGTCGATAGAACAGGTGTTGTCAAAAATATGGCAGGCATGCACAAAGAAATGAGCTTTGGAACATTGGCCCCATTAATCTATTGTTTTCTTGTGCTTGCCTACATTTTTGAAACYGCCTTCACATCTCGAAATTGTCTGCTGTATGTTGTTGTACATGTATGATTTATAGGAGAATAACTTGGCATACATCTTAAGAATGCATTTTTGTCTTTTTTATCACCAGGACACCTTCCTTCCTCATGTAGAAAATGGCACAATCACTTTAATTGGAGCTACAACAGAAAACCCTTCCTTTCATCTCAATACAGCTTTGCTCAGTAGATGCAGGGTGTTTGTCCTTGAAAAACTTTCCTCAAGTGCAATACAAGAAATCATTTTCAGAGCTATCAAGGCAATGGGACTGGAGGTAGTTGATAATGATGACAGTAGAGCAGCTTCTGATTGGTATGTGCATTAAATGACTATTGTTATATAACAATGATGATAATGTTCACTGCAGGCAGGTCAAACTACACTCAATTAGGTATGGTTTCCATTTTTCAGTTGTGAAGTCATCATTGACAAAGATGCAGTGATTGCACTCTCAAACCTTTGTGATGGTGATGCCAGAGTAGCTCTTAATGGTCTTCAACTTGCTGTTCAGTCACGAATGGCAGCGTCAAAACAACCTCCTGCTGTTGACCATGACACATCAGTAGAAAGAAGTGCTCAACCCACAAACAAAGCTATAAGTTCCAACAATGCACCAGTTAGAGTGAGCGTAGCTCATATTAAAGAGGGTCTTCAAAGAACTCATTTGCTGTATGACAAGAAGGGAGATGAACATTATAATATCATATCTGCTCTACATAAGTCAATGAGGGGAAGTGACGAGAATGCTTCATTGTATTGGTTGGCAAGGATGCTGTGTGGTGGWGAAGATCCTTTGTATATTGCTCGCAGGCTTGTCAGATTTGCTAGTGAAGATGTTGGTATGATACATTAATGTAGATCTGTGTTTGATGTTCATTGTTTTGTTTACTTTGATAGAATCATGAGATTGCTCAAATTGCACACACTTATTTGCACAATTTATTATTTCCGCTGTAGATAGTATATTCACATACAGGTGATTATTGTCTTAATTTGAATGTACAGGATTGGCTGATCCCACTGCATTGAACCAAGCCGTAGCTGCATATCAGGCATGTCACTTCATTGGGATGCCAGAGTGTGAGGTAATTTAAAAACATGTAATAAARAAAATCCTGATACGGAAAACAAATGACTCCGGCAAACACTAATGAATACATGACTTCTTGTGGCAGGTCATCTTAGCCCAAGCAGYTGTTTACCTCGCTAGAGCACCTAAATCAATTGAAGTATACGGCGCATACAACAAAGCTAAACAGTGCATCAAAGACTGGGAAGGACCTCAACCATCTGTCCCCCTACACATCAGAAATGCACCCACAAAGCTTATGAAAAACCTCGGCTATGGAGCTGGTTATATATACAATCCTCATGTTGATGGACCTGTTGATCAGACATATCTTCCCCCAGAACTAGATCATGTAAACTTCTTTGGTAATGAAACATGTAGAAGATAATTTTGTAAGAAAAGAAGTAAAATAAAAAATAATATTCATTTTATATAAATAACTTTGTAGCAGAGTGAGTACTATGTGGATTGCAGGGAATGAGTGTATCGTGAGGAAGGGGTTGGCGCGCACTTTTAAAAGTACAGTATCTAGCTGACAGGCAGGGGCTGTCGCGCACTTTTTAAAGAACAGTATCTAGCTAACAAGAAGAGGGTGGCGCGCACTTTT